GTGCTACAGGGCGATAGTCATTTAGTTCAGTTACCTTTTGCTTTCTTGGGTACAGGAACAATGGTGGCCATCTTGAAGCATGTGGGAACAGCAGACTGGGAAAGGGAGAGATTGAATATGTCCATAAACACACCAGCCAGCTGGTTTGCACATGCTCTGAGGACGCGGCTAGGGATGCCGTCTGGGCCGGCAGCCTTGCGGGGGTTAACATGCTTAAACGTCTTAATCACGTTGGCCACGGAGAAGGAGAGGCCACAGTCCTTGCTAGTGGGCCTCGTCAGTGGCACTGTGTTATCCTCAAAGCGGGCGAAGAAGGTGTTTAGCTTGTCTGGAAGCGAGACGTGGCTGGTTTTCCTTTTGTAGTCCGTGATTGTCTGTAGATCCTGCAACATACGTCTCGTCAGTGGCGGCTCCTGAAAAAATTCTCAGGAGGGGCAATTTTTCTGATGATTTAGGTGACCTACACACGTGCACGAGTCCGTGCACGCGATTCCAGATATCTTTACCTCTGAATAAACTGCCTTTATTATACCATATCCACCCTGTCCAAAGTCTCTACTTGGTCTCAGTTCTCCAGTAAACTTGTGATTATCAACAGTACACAACGGTAACAAACAATTGGGGGAACTCACGGGGCAGATAGTAACCACTTAAAAGGAAGCGATTCCCAAACCTTCCATAACAAAGCCATCACCTACAGAGAGATGAACTTGGAGAAGAGTCCCCTAAGTAAGCTTGTCCTGGGCCTCTGTTCACAAACACAAACAGACCCCACACAGCCCCAGGACAACAACAACAACACAATTAGACCCAACCAAATCATGAGAAAACAAAAAGAGAATTACTTGACACATTGGAAAGAACAAACAAAAAAACAGAGCAAACTAGAATGCTATTTGGCCCTAAACAGAGAGTACACAGTGGCAGAATACCTGACCACTGTGACTGACCCAAACTTAAGGAAAGCTTTGACTATGTACAGACTCAGTGACCATAGCCTTGCTATTGAGAAAGGCCGCCGTAGGCAGACCTGGCTCTCAAGAGAAGACAGGCTATGTGCACACTGCCCACAAAATGAGGTGGAAACTGAGCTGCACTTCCTAACCTCCTGCCAAATGTATGACCATATTAGAGACACATATTTCCTTCAGATTACAGCGATCCACAAAGAATTCGAAAACAAACCCAATTTTGATAAACTCCCTTATCTACTGGGTGAAAAACCACAGTGTGCCATCACAGCTGCAATATTTGTGACCTGTTGCCACAAGAAAAGGGCAACCAGTGAAGAACAAACACCATTGTAAATACAACCCATATTTATGTTTATTTATTTTCCCATTTGTACTTTAACTATTTGCACATTGTAACAACACTGTATATATACATAATATGACATTTGAAATGTCTTTATTCTTTTGAAACTTCTGAGTGTAATGTTTACTGTTAATATTTATTGTTTATTTCACTTTTGTTTACTATCTACTTCCCTTGCTTTGGCAATGTTAACACACGTTTCCCATGCCAATAAAGCCCTTAAATTGAATTGAATTGATAGTAAGGTCGCAATGACACAGAAAGCAGTTCAATGTCGGGGTACAGAGTCGCTCTCTTACCAGGATCGCGGTCCGCTCTGACCAGGGTGAAGGTGGCCGGCTCCACTTCTCTGTCCGGGACTCTGTCATCCAGCCAAGTCTCCCAGCTGTATTGGGATTCAGCTGCCAGCAGCGTTTTCATTATTTAGTCCGTTCGTAGCGGGTATGTACACGATCAACAAGATCAGTCCAAAACCAACCACTGGAAATCCATGGTTGGCAGAATGTTTGTAAACTAAGTCTACAAATTAAAAACATAAAATAACGCCGCACTGCAGGTCGCAACAGAGACGCTGCTAGCCGCCATTGTCTTAGTTACGTTCAACGTTACGTCACGTATGACGAAAGCGCGTAAGTGCAAGCCCACAGACACCCATAGAGAATGTATTGAAAGCTTTGAAATGTGAAAAAAATAGATTTTACATGACAGGCTATGAGAGACTTCTGGGCGATTTTCAACTTGACTGAAATCGCCCCAAAAACGGGCGGGGCCATTTGAAGCACGACTTCAGCCTGATTTGACATTTAGTGGCTGGCAGATCAGACGTGAACACTGATAACTGCTGTTGCCGTGATATAATTGATTAGAAAAAAAATCCCTTCCTTTTCCCGTTTGGCAGTGCGTCGCCCATATCGCCCTATTGAACAAGCCGTCCCTGCGTCTCGTGTCTGAGCTGTTGAATTGCGACTCCACAATATCTTCTTTTAGGGTGTGAACTGGGATGGTCAGATTTAATTAAATTGTTATTTTAACAATGCTGGTTATGTATCTTATTAACATTCATCCAAAGACACCTTGACTTGCATTACACACCCTCACTGCAGAAACACTTCTCATGAAATCATGTCACTTATAGTTAGAGAAAAATATTCCTTTAAACGCGCCATGCTACAAGCAGGAAACAAATGATGGACGAAACAGAAATGTGACATATCTGTTTGATAGTAACCCTGAATAATGAATGTATAGACTATCTTGTAGTCTTTTTGGCTAACCACATTGGAACATTCTAGTTTTTAAAGACAACTAATCAAAAGGTCAACAACTAATATTTAAGGCAGAACAGGTTTAAGCACAGTGCCATTGTTTTCAGGAAAGCGTACCCATGGCGATAGGAGAGACAGGAGGCAAACTAAGGGCAAGGGCAGGACAGCCACCTGAACTGCCCTACAAAGGCAAAGAGCAGTCTTATTCACCTTATTTAGGCTTGCCGGAACAAAGGGGTTGAATCATTATTTACTCAAGAAGTTTCAGCTTTTCATTTTGTATTAATTTCCACAACTTTCTACAAACAAAATTCCGCTTTGACATTATGGGGTATTGTGTGTAGATCAGTGACACAAAATCTCAATGTAGCCCTTTCCTGCAGTCAAATGACGTAGTGGCCACATGGGTGGAATGTTATTAATATTTTTCATAATTTCATAATTAATAGACATTGTATTGTTTTTACACATAAAATCCGGTGTTTCTATGTCAAACAGTTTTGTTATAATTCAGTCTTCTGTGATGTGTATAAAGTGTAATACTGGGATGCAAACTCAAAATGTAATACATTTCAACTCTACAGTATATCTGACATGGTACAGGTGTCTTTTTTCTAAGCCCATAACCATGTGTGTGAGGTGTATACTTTTGTTTCAAAGTAGATTTATTTAATACTACCAAGAAACACTCTGTGTGACCCTGATTTAGCCCACTGCAGTAAAAGGATCATTATTAACATCTCCCTCAACATCAGTAAGACAAAGGAGCTGATCAATCAATCAATCACATTTTATTCATAAAGCCCTTTTTACATCAGCAGATGTCACAAAGTGCTATACAGAAACCCAGACTAAAACCCCAAACAGCAAGCAATGCAGATGTAGAAGCAGATCGTGGACTACAGGAAACAGAGGGCCGAGCATGCCCCCATTCACATTGACTGGGATGTAGTAGAGCGGGTTTGAGAGCTTCCAGTTCCTCTGTGTCCACATCACTAAGAATCTGTCATGGTCCAAACACACCAACACAGTCGTGAAGAGGGCACGACAACGCCTCTTACCCCTCAGGAGGCCGAAAACATTTGGATTGGGCCCTCAGCATCTCAAAAAGTTCTACAGCTGCACCATCGAGGCATCTTGCTGCCCCACACCGGGAGGAAACCCTTTTTCCTGCCAACCCTAAAAAGGGGAACAAAAGGGCGTAAAAAGGGGGGCCCAATTTCAATAAAACCCCATCGCTTTTTTTTTCCCAGAAAAGGCCCCAAAACAAGACCAAACCAAAAAAAAACCCATGGGGTTTTTTCTTCTTCTATTTCCCCAAAAAACACCAAACTTTTCTGAACCCCAAAACCCCGGGCCCAACCTAAAAAAAGGGGTACAAACACCTCATTAGTTTTTTTTGCAAAAACCCTTTTCAAACCACTTTACTAGAAAACCCCCACTCCCTGGAACCCCCCCTTTTAAACGAGGCTTTTTTTCTATACATTGGGCCTTTTTACCCTTTCCCAAATGTCAAAAAAGCTACCAAAATTCCAACCCCCCTGAAACAGGATCGGTCTTCCCCCCGGGGGGCCCCCGTTTTTCACCCCAAATTTTAAAAGGAGGTTTTTTTACGGGGGAAGGGGAAGGATGTTATTTTACTTGTTATTTTTATTAGTTATTCACTGTGTATTTATTCCTCGTGTCACTATTTCATTATTATTTTTATTAATTTTTTATCTTTAACTCTGCATTGATGGAAAAGGACCCGTAAGTAAGCATTTCACTGTTAGTCTACACCTGTTGTCCACGAAGCAAGTGACAAATAACATTTGATTTGATTAAGTAATAGTAAAATGTATTTTAAAAAATGAGATGACAATCATATCAAAAGTAATGTATATGAACATGTATTGCAATGTGAAACATGTATTTCTAGATAAAATACTGATTACGTTTTGTGAAAAAGTGACTGTATGATTGATTTTGTGTGTTGTACTTAGTCAATTGAAAATGTGCTTATAGTTTTGAAACAACTGCCTTTTTGATGATCTGTTTTTAGTTTTGTACTAAGAGTCGTGAAAATGTATCACATACTTGTGAAAATTGCACTAAAGCGATTGAAAACAAATGTAAAATCAGAGGAAAACAGACACGATCAGCCGAGCATTGATGTAATGTTGTTTTGTAGTGAAACAGGAACTGTTGAGCGATTAAGAATGTCTCTTCCTGGGACTGTGTGTGTGTGTGTAGACCACACTGCAGACTCCATTCTGTGGGTGTCACTCAATCCGTTATCTGGAGCCGGGAAAATGCAGCCAATTTTCTTCTCTCTTTAATTCCCAGCGTTTTCTCTGTAATGTTTGGGTGTGAGGGTCTGTTGGTACACAAACATCCATAACATACACTATTGATGTTGTATGTATGTATGTTTAGCAGTGTTTCTTTTGCATGACTACTGTGCTGTGCTGTGTTCCTGTGGCTTCAGGCGTGTTACCGGTCAGTGGGATGAGGGTGTACACGTCGGGGGAGGTGGAGGCGGTGAACGGCACAGATGTGCGGCTGAAATGTACCTTCCAGAGCAGCTCGCCCATCACCCCAGCAATGATCACGGTCTCATGGAGCTTCCGCCCCCTCGGACATGGCCATGAGGAGTCAGTGAGTCACCCTGACTGATTGTAGAACCCTCTGGGCATCCTCGAGATGAAGTTCAGAGACAGTGTGTGTGTGTGTGTGTGTTTCTAATCTGCATTCTGTTGTTTGTCAAGGACCTCTGAGTCAACCATCAACTTCATTGTCAGCGTCATTTTGGAATCTGGCTGAACCGTTTAGAAAAATTACATTGTTTTGGAAATGCTATTGTTGGAGAAAGTCAATTAGAGGCGACAATTAAGTAAATGAGATGCAATTAGCTACCCTCTAATGAGATGCAATGTGATCTCATTAAGCATTGTGCCCATCTATGCCAGGTGTTCTACTACCATGAGAGGCCTTACCCTCCGCCAGACGGGCGTTTCCATAAGCGGGCGACATGGGCGGGTGACATCATGGGGCGGGACGCCTCCATTGTGGTGCATGAGGTCAAGTTCACCTACAACGGGACATTCAGCTGCCAGGTGAAGAACCCTCCAGACGTCCACGGCAACGCGGGGGAGGTGAAACTAAACGTGGTCACCACAGGTAGTTTCTGTCTACTGTGAAGCGTACAAGGGTGCTGGGTTAAAATATACTGTAGACGTGTCTGCTGTCCAATCTTTGGCCTCAGGCTGTGAAAACCTCCCATCAATCTTTACAAAACCAATCTGGCCCATTTGTCATTTATTCCATCCAGCAGCTCCTTTCTCACAGTAACAAGAGGTACTAATCCTAACACATCCCATAAAGTCATTATCATGTATCTCCCCCTGGGAACCAGCCATCTAGTCATGTTTGAATAGATAAAGTGACAGTTTCCTCTTTGTCTATTTAATTTCCCCCTCTTTTCTTTACAGCCTCCTTCTCTGAGATTGTCATTCTGGCTGCAGCCATCGGGGGCGCCATCATGCTGATGGTCATCTTCCTCGTCATCATCATGTCAATAAGGCGATGTCGCTATAAGAGACAGGAGGAGGAGGAGGGGGTGGAGGAACTGCCTCGCAGAGAGAGAAAGGACCCTACCGTGTGGTAAAACAGAGAGAGAGAGAAGGAGCGCGAGAGAGTGGGATCTGTGGTGGCTGGGCTCTGTGGTGCTCACCTCTGGGACTGGGCTCAGCCAAACGCTCTGTCTGCGTGGACACTCTCCTCTGAACCTAGCTTTGGAACCAAAACCTGGACCTATCGTTGGGCAAATGTTTTTACAAAGAGCAAACTTAAATGCTAAAAGTGCCTTAGACTACTACTGTAGATTATCCATCTACTGGATCCTGTATCTTACCACCATGCTCCTTTCTGGAAAGACAGTATGCCTGCATTAATCTTCTCCTGTATATCAAATGGGCTTCCGAACACATTTCTCCTGTTTAAGTATAGATGTTTTATAAGATAGTTATGGAAAATAATGTTCTGTTGTGATTTACTACTAACCAGTTTCAAACTCTAACATCTACCCAATCAATTTCCAACCGCATAGCACTTAGGAAGCCAATGTCCATGGTTGTATAGGTACCAGCGGTCTCTCTCTCATCTGGTTCAACAAGATGTCTTTACATTTCTGTCTTAGTTTACTGCTGATCAATGATATTATTTGGTTTTGTTCAGAAGTGATTTTGTATTATTTGTAAACAGAAGTTGTGTTTTTTATCAGTGAAAATGTTCAACTACTGCAGAAATACTCAAAATGCTGTCAATATTCACTGCAAGACCTAAGGCACTTGCATAAAGCCGACATTTCTCAAGTATTATAATCAACATACAGTTGATTATATCAACAATGTTAAATCATTATGTTCAAATTATTAAACATTTCAAATAACTATTTCACTATGACTGTCACTGTGTTGCAGTTTTTTCACCTTTAGACAGTTGAAACCCCATGTATCTGTTGTCTGTTTTAGACAGTTGAAACCCCATGTATCTGTTGTCTGTTTTAGACAGTTGAAACCCCATGTATCTGTTGTCTGTTTTAGACAGTGCAACTATGGTCAGTTGAACACATCAGATTCTTTTTGACTTGGTGTCTATGGCATACACAGTATATCAGTAGGGTTCTATATTTTCAGATCCCTCTGCATTGGGTGCTAATTTAGGTTTCAATTTAAACAACATAATGTGTAACCACATATGCCTCACCAACAAAAGCCAACTCTACTGTTTGGCGATGGAAGGATTTTTTTTTTACAACAACAAAATCCAGGCCAATGATTGATCCCGATCAAACATGGTGTTCCAAGATGGCTTCGCTTGAAGAGTTGTTATTTTCCTATTCATTGAAGAGGTGGCTGCCCCTCATCTAACAGGGACATTCATTCTCAACCTTTCCCGATTTTGACCTCGGACCTCTGCGGCTTTGTCTGTGTATGTGTACAGTTGAAGTCGGAAGTTTACATACACCTTAGCCAAATACATTTAATCTCAGTTTTTCACAATTCCTGACATTTAATCCTAGTAAGAATTCCCTGTCTTAGGTCAGTTAGGATCACCACTTTGTTTTAAGAATGTAAAATGTCCGAATAATAGTAGAGAGAATGATTTATTTCAGCTTTTATTTATTTAATCACATTCCCAATGGGTCAGAAGTTTACATACACTCAATTAGAATTTGGTAGCATTGCCTTTAAATTGTTTAACTTGGGTCAAATGTTTCGGGTAGCCTTCCACAAGCTTCCCACAATAAGTTGGGTGAATTTTGGCCCATTCCTCCTGACAGAGCTGGTGTAACTGAGTCAGGTTTGTAGGCCTCCTTGCTCGCACACGCTTTTTCAGTTCTGCCCACACATTTTCTATAGGATTGAGGTCAGGGCTTTGTAATGGCCACTCCAATACCTTGACTTTGTTGTCCTTAAGCCATTTTGCCACAACTTTGGAAGTATGCTTGGGGTCATTGTCCATTTAGAAGACCCATTTGCGACCAAGCTTTATCTTCCTAACTGATGTCTTGAGATGTTACTTCAATATATCCACATAATTTTCCTTCCTCATGATGCCATCTATTTTGGCAAACTCCAAGTTGGCTGTCATGTGCCTTTTACTGTGTAGTGGCTTCCGTCTGGCCACTCTACCATAAAGGCCTGAGTGCTGCTGAGATGGTTGTCCTTCTGGAAAGTTCTCCCATCTTTACAGAGAGCTCTGTCAGAGTGACCATCGGGTTCTTGGTCACCTCCCTGACCAAGGACCTTCTCCCCCGATTGCTGAGTTTGGCAGTGCGGCCAGCTCTATGAAGAGTCTTGGTGGTTCCAAACTTCTTCCATTTAAGAATGATGGAGGCCACTGTGTTCTTGGGGACCTTCAATGCTGCAGAAATGTTTTGGTACCCTTCCCTAGATCTGTGCCTCGACATGATCCTGTCTCGGAGCTCTACGGACAATCTCTTCGACCTAATGGCTTGGTTTTTGCTCTGACATGCACTGTCAACTGTGGGACCTTATATAGACAGGTGTGTGCCTTTCCAAATCATGCCCAATCAATTGAATTTACCACAGGTGGACTCCAATCAAGTTGTAGAAATATTTCAAGGATGATCAATGGAAACAGGAAGCACCTGAGCTCAATTTCGAGTCTCATAGCAAAGGGTCTGAATGTTTATGTAAATAAGGTATTTCTGTTTTTTATTTTTAATAAATTAGCAAAAATGTCTAAAAACCTGTTTTTGCTTTGTTATTATGGGGTTTGCTGACATTTTATTTTATTTCATCCATTTTAGAAACGGCTGTAATGTAACAAAATGTGGAAAAAGTCAAGAGGTCTGAGTACTTTCCGAAGGCACTGAGTGTACAAAACATGCCCTTTCCATGACAGACTGACCAGGTGAATACAGGTGACCTGTGATTTCTTAATCCGGCGCTCCCACTGAGCATGGCAGCCGGGACGACAGAACAGCAGGGATAAGGAGAAGAGAACATGAGGGGAATGCCTTTACAGTATTTTGAAGAGTCTAGAACAAGAATACATCAGAGAATCCTATTGGATGAAGATGATGGTGAAGTTTGAGAGGTGCAATAGGAAGCACCTAGTACGGCCCAATGCAGGACATAGGGAGAGGGAGAGGGACAGAACACTGCTACCTGAATGAGTTGAGAGGAGCTGTAGAAAGAAAAAACTGAGATCTCACTATGCACTTTACCAAAGAGAATGAATTATATCTAGAATGTTGGACTGATTTGAATAGTGTTACATTTATACTAAATAACAACAAGTATCCAAAGAGCCAAGGCACCTGTCTCTGTTGTTGAAAATATCCGTACTGTACGCTAGGATGGTCCTTCAGTTTTTTCCGCTCTGTCAATGGATCCTACAGTTACAGTAACCACTGTTAAGTCAAGCTGTTAGTGCTGCACTCCCTAATGAGGCAGAGAGACCTCAATGTCTACAGACTGACAACCTGACACTGCCCGAGACAGCCTGATGGTGATTACGTGTGTCTGTCGATTGGTGGATTAGGTAGATGCCGTGGATGTTCATTGATCTGGCCAATAAGAATCTTATGTATGATTCACACTATAGGGCTGACTTGAACCATACTGTACTGATATTTTATTTTCATATTCTCCTTTTCAGCCAGTTCCCGCAACTATAGATGCGCAACCAGGCCAGCCCAGTAGAGCTGGGCTTGGTTCGGTTCGGTTTGGCTTAGTAGTGTGAAAAGAGTATTAGAGCAAGGAGAGTAACTTTTTACTTTTTACTGCACTGCCTTCACAGCCAGTGAAACTGAGTGGCAAATACCCATGGTCCAATCGTCAACAGAGAATCTTCAAATGGTCTTATATTACAGTCTTATAACTAAGATGAACTGTCCTCAGTGCTCGCCGGGGTGCGTAGGAGTTGAAAAGATTTGCATGCAGTCAGATCTGAAAACCCTTTGATTCCAAAAATGTCCTTGAGACTTTTTTTTTTATTAATGGAGGATGCATCCTACTAACATTTTACAGTGCCACTTTTTTTTACAGATTTTGTGTTGTTTTGTAAAACTGAAAAATGTGTTTTTTATGTCTCTGAATTTTAGACATGCAAGAAATATTTTATTATGTTGTTTAAAAAAATCCAAGTTAATGTTACTGTTTGATTTATAGAGGTTTTATAATAAAATTCCTTTTACTGAATTATCGCTGGTCTTGAAGCTTGATGATGCATCTCTGCTGAACTTTGAACCTCAGCAACTATATCTGTTAAACTGATGATTGCTGACATCACATACATAGCAGCTAGACAAACAGCATTTATTATCTAATCTATTATGCATCGTAATCAATCATTTGTTGTCTCTAGTGGTCTATCAACTGATGTTTATATGCGATGGATGTGCCTTTAGCTGTAAATGTTGCCCAAGTGCAATGCATTGTTTGAGCTGTAATCATGAAGTATGCTTGTCCATGCGTCTGCAAGTTGCGTTTGTGTGTGCTTGTTTGTTGGATGAGAGTGCTTGCATGTGAATGTCGGAGAGTGTGTGTGTGTGCATTGATCAAAGTCTATCTCCTCTGGTGCTGCTTTGGTTACTGACTGACAGAGCAGGGAGAGGAGGGAGGGAGGGACTTGGGGGCTAATACTCTAGAAGGGAGTCTAATGATCCAAGATAATTGGATCTGTTGTTGCATTCTGTAGTTAAGAATGGCAGCTCTGTTGAATGAAAGGCAACACTGGTGTAATCTGAGCTCTCTCCAGTATCTCCAGGTGATTATCCACTCAAAGCTAGGTTCACTCCTAATTTCATCACTTAATCATCTCTGTAGGTTGGGAATAAACAGGTTTTCTCCTCAAAAAGTATTGGAGAAAAAAGTGATGGAAGAATGGCGCCGGAGGGGATGGCTGCCGTTTTACGGGCTCCTAACCAATTGTGCTAATTTGTGTGTTTTTTTCGCGTTGTTTGTAACATATTTTGTATGTAATGTTGATGCTATCGTCTCTTTTTTTTTTTTTTTTTTTTTTTTATAATATGTTTATTATTTTCCAATAAAAATAAAGTAAAAGAGACTGCAATACAAACAATGACATTCATTGTACTGTTGGATGGGATGGCCAGTTTAGAGGACAAAACAA